CTTCCTAAAGATGACCAGACCTCTTCATCACGTATGAGCATTGTCGTCCCTCAAATCAAACACTATTAACTTTTCAAAAGAAAAAAAAGAGAATCGGACAAAAAAACTAGTTATCTTTTTTGTCTTTGCCCTATTCATGTTAACACAAGAATGCGCAAAGAGGGGCAGCTGTAGACACCCGTTTTTGTCTAGGTCGAAAAAATATTATAATAATATTATTATTTTAATATATATATTACATGTATGTAGGCCTAGACGTAAGCCCAATTACAAGACTCGAGCCCAATTATAAGTCCAGATTACAAGTATCAACCCAGCAACCCAGCTGAAGCCCAGTACCATACCGGGACCTGCACCGATCCGAACCAGGTCCAGATTTGACCTGACCCAGTGTAATTAGGGTTTTTAAAACCCTAAAACATCAAACAGTTACCGCCTCCAACAACGTTTTAGCTCCCCTGGTGCGTGGGCTTCACCGCCCCTCTCTCTGAGCGTATGAGCCACGCCAATGTTCCACCGAGTGTTCCCGAGCCGCCGTCGAAAGTCCCATTGATCAACGCCATTATCACTTACGTCAACAACCACCAAATCAACACCAAAGTCAAAAAATATATATATAATCTAAATCCCAAAAATTTCGGGATTTCATTTTACCTAAACCTACCATTCCCACCAAATAAAGCAAAAGGAAAAAAAGAAAAGCAAGCAAGAAGATAAAGAAAAAGTGGACAATGACATTCGGTGATGATTGAAAATAAAAGGAAAAGTTTATTTAAGGAGGGGGTTCAAACCAAAAGAAAAAAAGGGAACCCATTTGAAAAAACCCAACCAAAGGAAAAAATCCAAACAATATATTAGAATAAAAGAAAAAGGAGAAATAAAGAGAGGCAACCAGAGGTGGAAAAAAGGATTCGATGAAGAAATAGAGAGATCTTACCCTTAAAAAAACCTCGTCGTTGTATCCTCACCGGAGTTGGAAAAACCCATCATCGAATGTAAAAAAAAAGTTGTCTATTTTCCTAGATCTAGAGGTTTATGATAAGATTTAGGCAAGTTGGAAGTGGTTTTCAGGTTTAGCGAGGGGAGAAGAATATTCGGGGAGTACTTTACTCCCTCCGGCCGTCGTATATCGCTGTGCACCGTAATTTGGGTGTTGTGAGGGTGCTAATCATTCCCTACTCGTAATCGACTCTCGAATCTATTTAATTGAATCTTTGGTGACGCAGACCAGCTTTTTATCTTAAAAACGATTTTTCTTAAAATTGTTTTTTTTAAAAGACGTTTTTAGGTATTCGACCTACCTAACCAAAGGTTGATGGCGACTCTATCCAATTTAATTTCAAATCACCAAATTTTCCAAAATTAAAATCATAATTGTTTTTTTAAATAATAAATAATTGTTTCACCTAAAAAATTGTTATGACAAATCTGATCTGAAATTTTAATTAGTTATTTAACTCGATATCGTTTCAATTTATCATTATTTTATGTTAGTTATAAAAATTAAATGGATAAGATATTGATTTATTTATTAGCCGCTCTCTCCCTTCCCCTTCTTTTTTCCTTTACAGTTTGTGCCATTTTTTATATATCAAATCTACTTCTTCTTTTTTTGATTTTCTTTAGTCGGCGACGGCACTGGTTTTGATGTTGATTATCGACCGTCGATTTTTTTTTTCTTTGTTTCTTTTTTTGTTTTTTTTATAAGAATAATTATGTTTTGTCTTTAGGTAGTTTTTTATCATATTGATCTTCCCTGCTTTGGACTCTCAGATTGATTTGGATATGTGTTTTACATTCCTAAATAGTTTTCTTATGTCGCTCGACTCTGATTTGCGACTTGTCGGTGGTCTTTCAGTAATTTTATCCCCTTTTGTAGTTCGTTTGTCGATGTAGTCAGATTTGTTTATAACTTTATTTTATTCGAGCTTTTGGTTAGGTTTTTTAACCTTTTTCTTATTTGATTATGATATAAGTGGCTAGTTTTTTAGTCTAATTATAGGAAAATGTCCTAATTATATTTTAGTTTACGGTTATGGTTCTAAAGCTTCATTATAATTTTACTTTTTAATAAAACTAAGTTCTTTCTATTAAAAATATTGATTTATTAAATTTATTAATATTAACTTCAAATAAATTTTAATTCAATACCTAATTTATTACTTTTTATTAAATTTTTACTTGTATATTTATCAAAATTTAACTAATAATACATTTTACAATTAACTTAGAACGAGTGGATTATTTGTTAATTTATAAGTATAATACTAATCGCACATATCTTAAAATATATATTTCGTTAGTCTTGCCTTCCTGTTGAAGCAATAAAATCCTCTATTTCTTATTATTTTCAGGGTTAATTTGTAACTTTAACTTATTAGTATTTAAAATTTATTATTAATAAATTTTTTAAAAAATATATTTTAATTTTTGAGTAAATTACACTATTCCTCACCGAATTATACTCTCTCTCTTATTTTTCTCACCCAACTTTCAATTTGATCAATTTGCTCACTAAACTTTACAATCGAATCATTTTGCTCACTCGACTGTTTTCTCTCTAACGACTGATGATGCGCCATTTATTATTATTATTTAATACAAAATAATTAAAAAATAAAATAAAAATAGAAGGTGGTCAGATTCCACCACCAGCCACCGTCGACCGCCATAGACGGTGGTCGTTCGATCCTAAAATGGGATAGGTTGTTTCGCCTCGACACCTTGAGTTCAAATCTGACCTCAATTTTATCAAAACTTACTCCGAAGTCCACTAATTTGAGATTTAAAGTGAGGAAACCGAAACATTTTTGTCCAAATTCACGGGTTTTGGGACATTTTCCAGTGAAACAATCATCAGATTCGGACTTAGGGGGTCGAGACGAACTGAACCATGAAAATTGGGACTTAATGGACACCATCTAAGGTGGTAGACTGTGGCCGAAATGAAAATGACATGGTGACCAGCGGAGAGAAAATGAAGAAGAGAAGGAAAAAGGGTAAATTACCCCATGAGTCACTAAACTTTACTCTCTCTCCTATTTTACTTACTGAAATAATGTCGTCTTGGAGTGTATTTGAGTTTGTCAAAATGATGTCGTTTTAATGCCTGTGCCACGTCATAACGTCGTTAAATAGTTAACGACATAGTGAGCAAAATGATTCAATATGTAAAGTTCAGTGAGCAAATTCGTTGAGATTTAAAGAGGCTCAAATTGACAGCCGAAAATGTGCCAAGAGGGGGTGAATTGGCTTTTTGAGAATTTTAGGGAGTAAGGAGATTTAAAGTTATAGAAAAATGATGCACAAGGATTTATAGTGGTTCGAATTTATCAACCAAAGTCTACATCCACTACTTAAGCTCCTCACTTAGGATTTTCCAACAAATTCACTAATTTGTTCTTTCTTTTTCAAGGACAAAGAGATAACCTTTACACTTCCTAGCTTTTCATAGGCTAAGCTAGAACCAAACCCCTTTTACAAAAGGATAAAATGTAAACAAGAAAAACCTCTCAAAAGGAAGAAAATTTACAAAGATTTAAGCTCACAAGAATAAATCTTAAAGATATACAATTAAGCTCAAACACACTATGTACAAGAGAAAAAAGAAATAAAAGAGTGAAAAGCTTTTCTCTTAATGATAAATGCTTGGATAGGTGCTCCTAAAACTTCTTCAAGTGTCTTGGACTTGTATTTATAAGTTGGAATGAGGTTGTGGTCATTTCTAGCCGTTTGAGAATGTTTTCTGTGCAAAAAATGCCCATGATAGGGAGTATCAATACTTCTTTAATGAGTATCGGTACTTCCTTTATTAATTTTAAATAAAATTAGCTGCTACTAGCCGTTGGGTTTAACAGTATCGATATTGTGACCATGGTATCGATACTACTATGTAAAGTAGTATCGGTACCCCTTTGGATATCAATACCTATTTTGCATTCTGGAATTTGAGCAAGCTGGTAGTATCGATACTACCTTGAGAGTATCGATACTTCTCGTACCTTTGGTATCAATACCTCTTGAATAGTATCGGTACTATTCATGATATATCGATATTGTAAGAACATTATCGGTACTACGTATGTGGAAAACTGTTTTTGCTCAAATTCTAAGTTAGTGGACTTTGAATTATTTTTGAAAACTTTGAACAAATTCAATTCAAGTCCAAAAACATTTTGCCTTAATTGTTATATCAAAATATTATAAAACATAGTTCAACAATCTCCCCTTTTTGATATAACAAAACATTTAAAAAATTATTTTTGGAAAAATTCCCCCTTAATAAAACATTTGATGGAAAAAGAGACATGTTTTGGAAAATGTTAAAGCTCCCCCTTTTTCATTCTTGAAATTGAATTTTTCAAACTCATACTTCTCCCCCTTTTTGTTATATAAAAAATAATTCAAACTTTGAAGATTCAAAAATAACAATGGAGAATAAGTGATAATTTTGACATTAAAATCATTTGAAAAATCATAAACTCCCCCTTAAAAAGTGCATTACAAACAAAAAATTGACTTTAAAAGCTTGACAATTAAAAAGAAATTGAATTTCAACAAAGATGAACAAAATTGTTAGTAGTACATGTAATTCAATATATCCAAGTCTGAAATACTTTATGCAATACCAAATGTTGAATTTAACTGCATGTGCATAAAGCTTTCCAAAAATGTTATGCATTTGAAAAATTGATATCAATTGTTAGAGAGATATCATTTGCAATAACTTACATGCATTAACATTTAAATTAAGGTCAAAAATTGATATAAATTGTTAGAGAGATATTATTTACATTTAAAACCAATTTTGACCAAAATTCATTATGATGAACCAAAAATTATGAAAAATCATTAAAACTTTAAAAAATGTTAATCATAATACATTTTCAACATACATGAGATGAAAAATATAAAACGATTTAAAATCAAAAACTCATGCATGCTTAAAACTACATGAGCAACCAATTATGCAAGATAATTAAAATAAGCTTAGAGATTACACATTCCTTTTCAAGTGACATTTAAGTAGATTTTGGTATCCAAATTGCTTTTGATCCTTGGACGTTAGTTTCAATGCCCCACACACCTACAAGAGACATTTAAGTAGATTTTGGTATCCAAATTGCTTTGGATCCTTGGACGTTAGTTTCAATGCCCATTGTTCCCTTAGGAACCCATACTTGTCTAATTTTAAAATATTTTCTTTTCTTTATGGGATAAGTATGTTCCAAATGACCATGAAAATGACAATGTGAACATTTTTCCATTTTTAAACATAATGAGTTGTTTTTAGAAATTAATTTCTTATATTTGGAATCTATGATCTTAAATTCCAAATACAACTCATCATAAGCAACTTGTAACTCATTAAAAGAATAAGAATCTAATTCATTTAAGTTAAAAGTTACCATTAAATATTATTCGATGGCCATGAGGCATAGGTTGGCTGCTTTATTTTCATCATTGAAGTCATCTTCATCACTCCAAGCAACCATAAATGTCTTTTTCTTGCTTGATCCCTTCTTCATTATGAGGGGACAGTCATACTTGACATGCCTCTTTCTTTGACAATTGAAGCACACCGGGGGACTCTTCTTTGTGCTCGATTCATTCTTTACTTCATTTAAAGTCATGAATCTCTTGAATTTTTTGAAGAGCTTGGACATCTCTTCTTCATCATCATCGCTATCATCTACTTCTTCACTTGTGTCTTGATTGCTCTCATTGGTGGATTTGAATGCAATGTCTACCTCCTTCTTTTTGTTCTTCTTTTCATAATCTTATTCTTCCTTCACCATCAACTCATGAGTGAGAGGATAACTAATAAACTCATCAAGAGTGAGAGACTTTTGGTTATTTGCTTTGATAATTTTTGTCTTCTTCGATTGCCAAGACTTTGGAAGAGAATAGATCATCTTCCTCACAAGCTTCTCATTAAAGATTACTTCTCCAAATCTATTGAGATCAATGACAATCACGAAAAATATATCCGTCGTAGCTTTGATGTCTTCATCATTTCCTTCATGAGTGACTTGGAGTTTGTCCCATATCTCCTTGGCATTGGAACAAGAGGAGACTCTTCCATATTCATCCGGGCCTAATGTACAAAATAAAATGTGCATAGTCTTAGCATTGAGTTGAAACTTCTTCTTCTCTCCATCACTCCAATCATCTATTTTACCGGTTGGAGTGGAATATCCTTTCATGATTGAGTTCCAAGCTCCTAAATCGTTGACTTGAATTAAGAGCATCATTTTATTCTTTTAATAGGCATAGTTTTCTCCAATGAAATATAGTGGTTTGTTGATCGGTTGAGAATCTTCAATGCAGTCAGAGTCGGAGGTCGAATCAATCTTCTCGGTTGTGTCGTGAATCAGTAGAGCTTCTTCAAGGATTATCTCAAGGTTGTTAAACCTTTTAATGAGTCAAGTTCTGATACCAATTGTTGGATTTGAAGAGGCTCAAATTGACAATCGAAAATGTACCACGAGGGGGTGAACTGATTTTTTGAGAATTTTAAGGAGTAAGAAGATTTAAAGGGATAGAAAAATTATGCACAAAGATTTATAGTGGTTCAACTTTCTCAACCAAAGTCTACATCCACTACTTAAACTCCTCACTTAGGATTTTCCAACAAATTTACTAATTTGTTCTTTGTTTTTCAAGGACAAAAATATAACCTTTACACTCCCTAGCTTTTTACAGGCTAAGCTAGAACCAAACCCATTTTACAAAAGGATAAAATGTAAACAAGAAAAACCTCTCAAAAGGAAGGCGTTTACAAAGATTTAAGCTCACAAGAATAAATCCTAAAGATATACAATTAAGCTCAAACAGATTATGTACAAGAGAAAAAGAAATAAAATAGTGAAAAGCTTTTCTCTTGTTGATAAATGCTTGGATAAGTGTTCCTAAAACTTCTTCAAGTGTCTTGAACTTGTATTTATAAGTTGGAATGATGTTGTGGCCATTTCTAGCCGTTGGGGATGATTTCTAGCCATTTGGGGGATGTTTTCTCTGCAAAAAATAAACTGCCCAGGACATAGAGTATTGGTACTCCTTTAATGAGTATCGATACTTCCTTTATTAATTTTAAATAAAACTAGTTGTTACTAGCCATTGGGCCTTACGGTATCGATATTATGACCATGATATCGATACTACTATGTAAAGTAGTATCAGTATCCCTTTGGGTATCAATACCTATTTTTTATTATGGAATTTGAGCAAGCTGATAGTATCAATACTACCTTGAGAGTATCAATACTTCTCTTACCTTTGGTATCGGTACCTCATGAACAATATCGGTATTGTTCATGCAGTATCGATACTTCAAGAACAGTATCGGTACTTACGTGAAAAACTATTTTTGCTCAAATTATAAGTTAATGGACTTTGAATTATTTTTGAAAACTTTGAACAAATTCAATTCAAGTCCAAAAACATTTTGCCTTAATTGTTATATCAAAATATTATAAAACACAGTTCAACAAAATTGATCAAATTGAAAGTTGGGTGAGAAAAATAGGAGAGAGAATAAAGTTCAGTGAGGAACAATATAATTTACCCATAATTTTTTTAGCTAAATATATTTCATATACTTATTTTATAAAATTTAATTTTTAATATATTTAAAATAAATACTTTTAAAATTTTAAAAAATTGACTATCGAAATTGGCAAATGATAAATTTTGGTGAGATAAAGAGAATTTGAGCATTGACTAAAGTGGTGTTTGTTTTTACTGTGTAAAGCCTGGAAAGCTCTTATGTCTGCATCGCGCATACCACGCGCAGACATTGAGCTTCGCAGACCGTTTGTTTTTTAGAAGACAGAAGCTCTTCTAACGTATGTGCGTGGTCTGCGCGACGCAGACGTGGCTTTATGTCTGCAGACATCTTCTAACTTCTTCAAAGAGGTTTTATATTTAATTTTATATTATATTTGATTTTAATTTTAATATTATTTTTTTAAATAAATTAAATACTAATTTTTTAATATTATATTATAGATATTAATTTTAATATTAATTTTTTAAATAAATTAAATATTAATTTTTTAATATTATATTATAGATATTTAATTTTATGTCATATAAATTATTTTATATATTATTAAAATTTTATATTTATTTTAATTATTTTGATTTAAGTTTAAATATAATATTTTTTGGATTTGTTATTTTTAAATTATATTTAAATTTTTATACAAAATATAAGTATTTAAACCACATTGCTTAATAAAAAATGATTTCATTATTTGATAATTAAGATTTTAAAATATAAAAAATTATAAATTATGTTTTTAAAATTTTAAAATATAATCACAATTAAATAAAAAATAATCATAAAATAATTTTATAAATTAAAAAATATTTTCTAAAAATATCATATAATTATAAAAATAAATTATTAATATATATTTAAAAAAGTAAAAGTATTACATAATTGCATATTTAAAAAATCATATAATTTAATGATCATTTATAAATTTTATTCTATAAAACTTATAAAACTAATAATACATGTGATTATGTGATACTTATAATAGAATTAATAATGTGGTGTTTGTTTTTCTAAAAAAATTATTATTGTAGTTGTATGAATTATTTAAATTTCAGTATTGTAAAACTAAAATTATTTAAATATTAGTATTGCAAAACTCTTTTAAGTTTAAAAAATCATTTTATTTATTTCAGTTTATTTTAGTAGTCTGCAGACGTTAAAAAACAAACAATCTTCTTCTTGCAGACTGTATACTTTTAGTCCGCCTCTTCTGCTACAGATGCATGCAGATGTGATCCGCAGACGACAGACCTTTTACTTCTGTAAAAACAAACACCAATTAAATGTGTCATGTTAAAAACATAATCGAGATGTACCTTTATTTATATGTTATGTTCAATCAGTAAATAAATGTCACTTCATGACAATGTTATTATGGTTGGAATATGAATGTTATTGAAATGATAGAAAAGTCTAAAAACAATCTTTTAATATAAGATTAAAAATAACACAAATCGAGAATAATCAATAATTTTACTAAAAATATAACTTTTAAGGTTAAAAATCAAAATAATATTTTCTTCACAATAAATCATATAATTATTTTGGTTATAATATAAAAAATTATATAGTTATATAAGTAAAAAGTAATATATATTCAAAGATATTTTTTAACAATTTGACATTGAACACTCACACTCCTAATATATTTTGGTGCTCGAATTTGAGAATTTAAAGAATAACAACAATTTCTTTACCACTAATGTTACTTGGTTAATTTTTAGTATATTTTAATAAATAGTCATAAAATAGAAATAAACTATCTTAATAAAAAATGATAAATTATGTATTTAGTACATAAACTATTAATTTTGGTTCGTTTTAATACCTTAATTTTCATATTTTTTTTCAAAAACCATGTCTAACGTTTAGTTTTTGTTTCATTTTAGTATCCTACCATTAAAAACTTAACAGACAGACTCATCGATCGCTGTGTCTACAGTAGCAAATCATCACATCCGTTAGCTGATGACGCCTAAACTTTATACTCGCACCTTTTTCGACCCCCTGAATGTGATTCCAACCTATGTTCCATCGGCAAATGCTTCAATATCCTCAAATCAATGATTGACTCTTTTGGCTTCTTCATCATCTAATCTTTATCGTCAACTGTCCGATGGGATTAAAATTGGACTATATTTGTTGACTCGTCATTATCTCATGTTCCATTGTTTGGATTGATCATTTGTCCACCAGATCTATCTCCATCAGTCATTCCGTTAAGTTTTTAACGACAGATACTAAAACAAAACAAAAAAATTAAACATTAGGTATGATTTTGAAAAAAATTAAAAGTTTAGATACTAAGACGGATCAAAACTAATAATTTATGTACTTAATACGTAGTTTACCCTAAAAAATTAAATCCGAAGAAAATTAGTATCAAACAATATTTTTTTAGTATAACCATCGATATCTAATCTGTTGATCAACTAATCCAGATTGGGTACTGCAGAGGCAAGGGATGTGGTATAAATAGGGGTGTTTATCGAGTGAGTCAATTTGCGAGTTAAGTAGTGCTCGACTCATGCTCGTTAAAAAAATTTGTTTCTTGACTTGACTCGTTGCTTATTAAGCTCGTTAAAATTTCGCTCAACTCGTGCTCGTTAAGAAAATTTGTTGTTCGACTCGTTGCTTGTTAAGCTCGTTATAATTTCGCTCGACTCATGCTCGTTAAGAAAATTTGTTGCTCGACTCGTTGCTTGTTAAGCTTGTTAAAATTTTGATAGACTTGTGCTCATGAAGAAAATTATTGCTTGACTCGTTGATCGTTTAGCTCGTTTCTCGTCTTGTCGCTTGTTAAGCTCACCGAAATTTTTATTTATTTTTTTAATTATTAGTAAAATCTACTGATATTAAATAGAATTAAATATAAACATAAATTAATAAACTTAACCAAAAAAATTATAAAAAGAGTGTATGAAACAAATTCAAAATCTAAACACCAAAATAACAATATATAAATACATTAAAATAATAATATGAGTTTGATTTTTGGGTGTAGTAAAATAATAATTATTAATTAATAATTTTATATTTTAAATTATTTATTAGAAAATTAGTAGATTAGTAATTTATCATTTTTTATTATCTATTTGCAAATTAGTAGTTTTTTGATGAAATATTTTTTAAGATAATTACTAAAAAGTTATAAAAAATTTAATGAGTTTCTCGCAGACTTATCGAGTCGAGTATGACTTTGTTTAACTCAACTCGTTAAGGTCTAGAGTCGAGTCAACCCAAGTTAAACTTTTATCAATTTTTGACCGAATCAAATTCGAACTGCTTAGAAGCTACTCAACTCATTAAGCATCCTAGGTATAAATAGTGTAAGGCCTTTTGTGTTATTTTGTAAAAGGAAAAGGGTATTATTGGTTTCCCATTGGAAAATAATGTCTTGTTAAGGCATCTAGATTTCGGTTAGAAAAAATTTGACAAAAAGCCATAGGAGGTTATTGTACTTTGAAAAAATTAGTGTGGTCTTAGTATTTTTTTTTTCTTAATGATCCTTCAACTCAAAATATAAATTTAATGTGATCCTTTGATCAACGTTTTTCGTCATTGACCGTTACAATATTGATGTGCTAGATCACGGTGTTGATTTGGCGGTCCACGATCTGACATGGTAGTTCATCTGTCATGTTTGAGCTACTAATTTAAACAATATGTTATGTCATCTACCATGTTAATCTGCCACCTTAGATTGCTATGTCGACATTGTGGATTGTCATATTAGTATTGTAAATTGCCACATCAGTACCGTAACGGTCAACGACGAAAAAAACGTTGGTGAAAGGGCCATATTGAGTTTATTTTATGAGTTAGAGGGTCACATTAAAAGAAAAAATAATACAAGAGCCATATTAATTTTTTCAAAAGTATAGCGACTTCTAATGCATTTTTGACAAAAAATTTGGAAAAACTTTTGTCGGCTGTGCTGAGATGTTGAATGTCAGCCGTTGGATTAAAGGTAATCCAACGTCTCAGAAAGAAGCCCTAGTTAATCCTAAGCTGAGAGTGTGGCTACTTAAGTTGAAGCAGGCCGCTCCTCTCACCCTCGGGCATTTGTTCTCCGTTCTATACAGCTTCTGGTCGATCGAATCTCATTTATGTCTAGCATACAGGTACAAATCTCTTTGGATTATTAATTTTTCTAATTTTATTGCTCTTATCTGATTTGTGGCTTGTTGAATGAATCTTATCTGTTCATTTCCTTTGTACAGTTATTTTTTTGTGTAGTTTTAGGATCTGATTCCTTCTGCCTTGATTTTGTTGTTGTGTTTTTAGATTTGATCCATCTAAATTGGATTAAGATTTACGATTCTATACTTATTTTAGAATTCTAAGATTTATTTTCTGAGAAAACATTTCATGTGATATCCGTCACCGATCTATTGAACCAAATGAAAACTAGTGGAAATTTTGTTAAAGGAAATGATCAAAATGGAAATGAAACGATTGTCTTAATCGGAATATTTGTGTTAACATCGCAGTGGCTGTAGTTCAGTGGAAAGAACTCCAAATCTGTCGTCGCAAGGATAGTTTTTTTTCTTCAAAATTTTACCCTTTTTCTTGTTTAGTTTTATATGTGGCTTATTGTCGGACAAATTTTGAATTTTGATATTGCTTTTTCTGATGTATGTTCTGTTTGAGACTTTGGTCAATGTTGTTGAAGAGCCTTTAGTTTTTCTTGGGCAATTGCCTCCTTACATTTTTAGTTTCATTAACAGTGTGTTTTACGCCTTTACCTCTATATGGAAATATGGGCATGAAAACTTATTATTCAATGGCTGTGCTGCATTTGTTTATTTCATCCAAAGAGAGGTCTCTGGGAAGTGAGCATGGACGCAACTATGGGAAAATTGAGAGGTAAAGAATCCTAGTGGTGTCACTACAATCTTCTTTTTCCACCAATTGTCGTTTTCCGGCTCGAATCATAATGAGAATCCGAAGCATTGTAGATGCTAAAAGAGATGAGACATGGTGTGTTATACTTGGAAAAAATGTTCCCTTTATACTTCTGAAAGGTCAAGAGAAAAGGTTAGAAAGGATTGACCCTTTATTTCCCCTCAAATATTGGCCAGGTTCATTTCCTGCAACATGAAAGCTGTGAATTTCAATGCCTAGTGAACCTTGTCTATTTATACAGCAAACCCTCTGTGTATAAATATACCAGGCAACAATAGCATCTGAAAGGAAACGCCGGCCGTTCCCTGCAGCTCCCCTGACCACTTCATTGGGGCTACTTTAAGACCCTTAACTGCGGAGTTTTTGTCTCACTGAAGGGTTTGGGGGAACTCTGGGAGATAGTTGACACTGCTCAGCACCAAATACTGTTGGAGGCTTATTTTCATGTCTAGCCAAGCTTTCCTGGTACACAATGTAATGTTCTTTAATGATTATTTTATGCAACTTGACGTCGCTTGATGAAACAAATGCTCTATTTTGGCAACTCAAGCAGGCAATAATGGCCATTGGAGTAGCAAGGGCAGTAGAAGACTTTCACAGCCGTGTCCGGTCGTTCATTCATTGGGACCTCCAAGCTTTCAACCATTATTATGTTAGCCATGAAAGTACAGGATGGCCTATTAGAAGTGAAAAAAATCTGCTGTTGCAGCAAATAAATGGACATAGCAGAAGAGAATATTACATTCGTAAATGGATCCCTTAGCTGTCTCTATTTGGAGTCCTATTTTATTGGATCATTATGAAATCTTATTAACTAAACAATGATTTTGAGATATTAAACCTTAAGCAATTCAGGAATAGATCATCGGATAGCAACTAAACGATTCATATGATACCCTTAAAAGTAAAATATTACATGCTTATGTTTATAAACTTTACGAAATATTTGACTTACGTAGATGTGTACCATTGAGTTTTGTAAGTTCGATATTCGGATTGTTTTCTTGTGCGAATTGGAGGTTTTATGGATTGCGATGTGACATCAACATAATCAGAAGAATTTTAATAAGATCAGTCAGTACAGTAAAAAGTTACTTAAATGAGAATGTGAGGATTGAATTTATATTGGATCGAACAGTAATTTATTGTATATATTATTTTAAAAATAAATGAGCTCTAAATTTTGTACAACGGTTTTAACTTGAATGTTTATTTTATTTAATTAAAGGTTTATATAATTAATAAGTATCTAAAGTATGTTTTTTTTCATTTAAGTACTTAAAGTATCTTTTGGTCAAAATAAGCATATAAAGTTGTCTTTTTTTATTTATCAAAATAGATACTCAAAGTATTTTTTTAGTCAAAATAGATACTTAAAATATTTTTGAATCGGAATAGATACATAAAGTATTCACTTATTGAGTATAAAATAGGTGTAAAAGAAATACTCAATGAATAAGAAAAACTTTATAAAATTCTCCTCATCGTTTTAGAGCAAATTTTTATTAAATGAGAAGTGATCAATTTATACAAAGTTGTAACAAAAAAAAAGACCATCAAGCAATTAGAATTTTATAAGTTCAAATTCGTCATTCTTAAAATTTTATAAATTCAAGTTAGTATCTTTTAAAATTTTATAAATTCAAATTAATCTTTTATATAAAATTTTACGTTCGTTCCTGCTTGTCCGAAATATTTATTTGAAAAATGAGAACTTGATAAAAAGACCACCTAAAGGCTAAAGCTTTTATTTCTGTTTATAAATTAAGAAGTGCACAGGTACTCACCAACTCACATTAATATCTGGAAAAAATTCCATTCAAGCTTTTATGCTTATGCTAGTCGAGGTCCCAAAAATCATTTTTCCGAATTCAAAGGCTATAATTTAATGAGATAATGAATCAATGATCAAAATTTTATAGGGTAAAAAAACATATTAATTGTTTATGGATGAGAGTGTAAGTAATAAAAATATGAAGGGTTTTATCAATAAAAACCATAATAAAAATATTTATCAATAAAATTATAATTTATAAATATATTTTTATAACTCTAAATCAATTATGAATTTTATATTTTTTTAAAAATAATTTTTTGAATTATCATTTAAAAATATTAAAAAATTACTAAAATAAATTTTAGTCATAGTTGAAGAAATAAATTAGATGTTATCTATTAATTCAAATATGGCATGTTATCGTTTAACACAAATAGCGATGGGATTACCATTTTATATCTGGATAAAAAAATTAATAATTTTATTATAATTTTAAAAAATTCAATGATAAAAAATTATTTTTAATATAATTTAAATATTTTTGTTGATTAAGGTTCAAGTAGTATATTTTTAAAATACTCTTAACCATTTGACAATAAATGTTTTTTCCCCTTCTGTAACTACTAGTGCTTAAACATGTGATCTCTAGGAAGAATAACGATTCCTTTAATCACTTGAGGCAAATTAATTCATGTAATTGATTTTAAAATAAGAGTAAACTAACCTTTAATATTATAATATTTAGCTGTCCAATTGTTTTTTATAAAAAATAAAATATTTGTTTAAATACTCTCAACCCTTTGATAATTCATACTCTTATATATATATATATATATATAATATTTAAACTAAAAAATTTAAAAAATAATAATAAATCTTTTAACTATTAAAATAATTTAATTTGGGTTGATTTGATGTATTTATTGTAAATATTTTTATTTTAAAAGTAATAAATAGAAAAAATAATATGCTTTTCAGCAAAAAAAAATATATATATATATAAGTGCTTTGCATTATTTAACTGTTTTCGTAAAAGACATGGTTACTAAGTTTTGGGAAAGAAAAACAAAAGTTTATTTTCCTTTCACCCAAACAAGAGAAAGAAACCAAAAGGGAAAAAAAAGCAGCTGTTTCTTCTTCATACTTCTAAACTTTTCTCGTCAATAGAGGCGTTTGGCCGGCAGCTAACACAGCTGTGAACCTTTTCAAATTTATTTATTTTTATTGATTTCTGAAAAGTAAGGAAAGAGTACCTTTCAAGTTCTTTGAGATCTGGGCAATGCATTTTCAGGTGCTTTTTTTTCCTTTTTTTTTTGCTGCTTTTGTTTAATGTATCCCAATCTTAAAACATTCATTTTTAGCTCATTTCTGTTTGAAGATTTTGGAGTTTTGCCTTGTCCTGCTCATGTTGAATTAAACATGAAAAGGTTAAAAAAAACTTGTTTAGATTTTACTGATGCTCTGCCATGATTTTGCCTCTTAAAAGGATCATATTGAGGACAGGTAAGATGGGGAAGAAAGGAAAATGGTTGTCTTCTCTGAAGAAAGCCTTCACCTCAGAGTCCAAGGAAAAGAAAAACCAGGTTTGGAGATTTCCAATTCAGCTAAAGATTATATGTAATTTCATAGTTAGCTAAAGATCATATGTGTTTCAGAAATCGAAAGAAGGGTTTTTGGAGAAGAAGATGCCTTTGGACCCCACTGATTCTAATGCAGCTACTCATCCTCAGTCTGAAGAGGTGAAGTTAAGCACGCAGACTTACCCTGCAACTGCTGAAAATGATGCCATTGCTCCCGCCGCACCGGCTCCGGTTGCTGTTGAGGTCGTTCTGCTAGGTTTGCCGGAAAATCTAAGGAGGAAGTGGCAGCAATCAAAATTCAAACAGCTTTCCGAGGTCACCTTGTATGTGATGCAACTTTTTCTTTTTTTTTTTCCTCATGAAGTTGTTTGTTTGATTCTTTCTTATTCATTATTATGATCGATCGAATTCGGCCATTTTTTCGGTTAATCTTATTCATCCTGCAGGATTTTTGAAACTGTTTCTTGATGATGGATTAAGTTTAGTATCAATTTTCAGGCAAAAAGGGCATTGTGTGCCTTAAGAGGACTGGTCAGGCTGAAATCCCTGATTGAAGTGCCTGCGGTCAAAAGGCAAGCAGCCAGTGCCCTTCGGTGCATGCAAACGCTCTCTCGTCTGCAGTGTCAGATTCATGCTAGGAGAATTCGGATGACCGAAGAAAATACGGTTCTTCAGAGGCAACTCCTGCAGACACACACGAAAGAACTCGTGAACTCGCGGGTAAATTCCCCTTTCTCTTTGATGTACAAACAGTTAAGTTGATAGATTAAGCTATTATATGCACCAGACAGAGGTGTATACCTATATATTGTATCATGTCGATTTTCTATTAGTTGGATCTCACTTTCCGATCATAGGTTTCAATGTTTTGAACTGATGGGTGAAGACTGGGATGATAGTGTGCAGTCAAAGGAACAAATTGAGGCAAGTTTGTTGAGCAAGCATGAGGCTGCCATGAAAAGAGAAAGGGCCATGGCATATTCGTTTACTCATCAGGTAATATCTGCTGTAGGAATTACTTCATAAATAAGTTCGAACATCCATTTTTGAGTTCGAAAAATAGTTCCTTTCTTCTAACATATATGTACTGCCTGATGATTAAACATGAGTTCTTTTTAAGGGGAGTTTCTCCGGGAAACTTGTACTCTTGTAGTACCTTGACACTCAAGTATCTGACTCCTACAAATAACTTTTTCAGCAAGCCTGGAAGAATGCTTCGAGATCTATGAATCCGCTATTCATGGATCTGAACAATCCCTAATGGGGATGGAGCTGGATGGAACGATGGATGGCAGCCCAGCCATGGGAGGGGCGTGGTGGCACGAGAGAAAAAGAACAGATCAATGACCAGTCATCCACAAAGAGTGCACGAAGCAACTTCGGAGGAGAAATCAGCAAAGCTTATGCTCGTTACCAACTCAATTTGGATAAGCAAACCCTGAAGGCCAGCCAAAAGCCTAGCCGAACTTTGAGCCTCATGTCCCCTTCTACTCCTAAGTCATCATCCATACCTGCCCAAAAGCTGAAGTCAGCAAGCCCTAGAAGCGGCGCGGTCGGTCCGGATGACGACACAAGAAGCATAGTCAGTATGCAGTCCATACAAAACCGGAGACACAGCATTGCAGGCTCCTCGGTGCATGATGACGAGAGCCTTAACTCTCCATTACTTCCAAGTTACATGGTACCAACTAAGTCTGCAAGAGCTAAGACCACCAGATTAGAAAGTCCCTTGGGACTAGAACCAAGTGGAACACCTCAGAAAGAGCCGATTGCATCTGTTAAGAAACGGCTTTCTTATCCGCCTTCACCGGCCAGTCCAAGGCGGCACTCAGGTCCGCCAAAAGTTGACGCAGCATCACCAATACAGAAATTGCAGTGGTGAATACTGAATAGTAAAGGCAGTTAGTTACTTATTTCTAATAAAGAAAACAGATGGAGTCCATAGGAGGCAAAAAATGAAGCAGAGAGGAATTATTTATAGTCATTTGATTTCTGATTAATTCCACTGTCAAAAGACTTGGGAGTAGAAGTGGTTGCTGGATCAGCTAGCTTCTTTCATCTTATAGATTGACACAAAATATATTTGTTAATGACAGTAAATTATGTGCAAGTTCACTTTATGGAAATTTCTCGTGTTGTTTATAATAATTATATACCCTATAACTTAACACATTTTTTCAGTGTCTAAATTAAACCGTAAAAAGATTTCATGTCTAAAGAAATTTTTGTTAACAATAGATTTCCAAAGTTATACTTTTAAGTGTTAGGATCATAACGTAGATAAATTTGATCGTTATTTGACACATGTCACGTATTTAAATTTTAAAAAATATTTTATTTTAAAAAAACTTCAAATTTTACATTTTTTGTTGTCGGTTCGTGAAATTCATCGTTGACACCATCAGAACTGTCTCGCTGCCGCGACCAAAACACAGTCCACCTCCCACAGTGAAACTGCATCGATCGTCATAAAAAA